ATATGTATATTTATTAGTGAACGGAGAGTCCAAATTACGAAAGTCTGGAGTCAATCAGGTAAGTGAAAAACTTTTTTACTCATATTAATCCCCCATATATATATATATATATATATATATATATATATATATATATTATATATATATCATTTAGGCGTGTTATCGTATGTCTAAATATATCTGCCCAAAATATGGGCGCGAAGATAGCAATACCCCAGACACATACACATGACTGAGTATATATATTCTGTGTTGAAAGGTTCTCGGCTCGACAAAGAATCCCTTTAAATAAAACTGAAGATTAGTAAGATTTTGAGAAGTTGAGAACTGAATGAACATCTCTCGTGTAAGGGAAAGGACATATAGTACGACACTGAAAGACGAAAATGCCTTCCAAAAGCTAAGCAAAGTATTAAGAAGCAGGAAATAAATCGTTAGAAATAAAGAAAAGATTACTAAAATTTTATGTAATAACAGTCCTCCTACATAGCAGTAAATTGTAGCCAATTTTCTCACAGGTGAAAGACTTGAAGCAACAGATATGTAGTTCTACAGAAGGATGTTGAGGATACTATGGGGTGAATATGCGTGCAATGATGAAGTTGACAATGGAAACAAAATGGACACATAGTTAACATTAGGAAGAGACTGTTGAAAATTCTAGGGCACATAATGAGGAAAGAAGCGTAGAAAATTTGTTACTCACAAGAGGGATTGAGTAGAGGAGGGGGAGAGAAAAGCACCGCATAAGCTACCTGATGGAATGGATAGCTGAACGTTTAGGGAAGATATTAAAAAGACGAAATTTATTGAGAGATACAAAGGACAGGAAGGTGTGGAGAGCCATGATCGCCAATTTTTCGAAAGAACACGGCACATAGAAGAAAACATATATTTCGAATCTATCTATCTATCTATCTATCTATCTATCTATCTATCTATCTATCTCAGTCTCCTCGTTATCTATCTATCTATCTATCTATCTATCTATCTATTAATTCGTTTTAGATGCGCATTTCTTTTCATCCATTAAAATTCTGTCTACACCGGCTAGCCCAAGAATAATGATATGCATTTATATTATTTAGATGTTTATTTTTTTTCAAGTTTTGCTTCACTTTATTAGGCATAAAAGAAGACCAAACAGCCGTGAGAGGTCTCTTGATTAATAAAATATCCCTGTTTCTTTTCGATATTTGATCCCAGGAAATCTAGGCTTTACGTCTCTCCTATTAACGATAAAGGTCACACAAGTATGAAGTACAGGAATCAGTTACCCTGAAGATTCGTCTTCATTAAATGACATTTCCACACTTCTATACAACATTCGTAATCTTCAAATGATCTATCTATCTATCTATCTATCTATCTATCTATCTATCTATCTATCTATCTATCTATCTAATCCTGTTCTTATCTCATTCTGTTTTTATCTATCTATCTCTCTTTCTAAATTAAAGTAAATAATTGGTGCTCATTTGTGAATACACCCGTCTACTAAGGTGCTTAGCCAATCCCTGTTGCAGACACCTGCTCAGGTACATTTGCCTTTCTTCAACACCCACAGAGCCAACCTGTGATTTATACTGCAATTATGTTGAGAAGAGGTTACATTTTCTGGGCGAGATCGTGTAATCTGGCAAGATCAAAAGTATGAGCATGACCTGTACGCTCAAACCATCAGTCACGCTGACTTCCAGTGATTTCCACTGTGCTATGTGTTCGGATACGTGGCATAGTGGATAAAGGCGTTGGTTAGATCCAGTGACAGGACCCAAAGAGTGTGAGTTCAATACCCGGTTAAGGCAGTGGAGAACTTTCGGGGGGAAATTAACAGGAGATAACTGACGTCCATTACACATGGCACGTTGAACTAGAACAATCTACCCCAGTGAGCGAAATAAAGAAGGCCGGAGCGTACAACGGCCGAAACGCTGTGATAAATATGGCGACAAAGATGAGGACAATAGGCCGATTAATGTAAATAGTCTACATAATACCTCATCTCAGAAATATAGACAGATACAGAAGGACACTTAAAAATCAGAAAGAGTCTGTTCACATGTCTATCTTACTTAAATAAGTATTACTATATACAGCTTGCGGACATTACAACGGTTCATTGTATCATCTCCAAAAATCTGGATGGCCAGAAACTAGCAGCTGATCCATCGTCCAAACTAGCCCGATGAGTGAAGGACTTGCTTCTAAAATTCAATACAACCCAAACCAAACTAGTAAATTTCCACCATCAAGCAGACCTTGAACTTTTACCTATCACGATAGAAGGGTTTTTTCTTAAGGAGACTAACATCTATTAGGACACAAGCTCAGCCTAGACCGCATGTGGAATTCATGTATCCGATCCATTGCTAAAGAAGCTGTAAAATGGTCGGTTCATATTACCATTCCAATAAGCATCTGACTTCCGTTACTATACTTTATCTTTACAAGAGCGAGATCAGATCAAAAATGGAGTATTTCTGCACAATCTGGGGTGGATCTGCCCAGTCCTCTGTCTTGATAGAGTTAAAAGCTTCTACGCAAACTTGCAGTTGATTAATTATTTTCCACCCTACAACCACTTTCCCACAGATGAAAGGTCGCGAGTCTCTCGCTGTTCTGTCACTATTTCTACGAAATGTGTTCAGACGAGCTCGATTCCGACGTCTGACCACCTCAAACTGATATCCACTTTAAGAGAAACGTCAGTTCGATTTTAACATTTGATTATATTTTGTTCATGGTGATAGTCAAAGAATAATTCAAAGTGCTAACTACAACCTATAGAGCTAGTGCTCTTAAGATAATCTATCTATCTATCTATCTATCTATCTATCTATCTATCTATCTATCTATCTATCTATCTATCAGAATATTATTAGAATCTATTAGAATACTTTTTATTTAACTACGATTTGAAATATTCTCATTTTTAATTCAAAATCAAAAATGACAATATTTCAAATCGTAGTTAAATAAAAAGTATTCTAATCTGAACATCCCCGAAAATCTTTAAATTTACAAATAGGAAAAAAAAATGCCGTAAGAATTTTTTTGCCGTTAACAATAAATTTTAAAAAAATCCAGACGACATGCATCCAACGGATGTCAGTTCTCATTGAAAAATACATGCCTACCCTTACCAAAATGTAGCTAATAACCGATACAATGATGCAGACATAAGGAAAACCCAGACAACCCTTGTCCAATTGAAGTAGATTTATCTGTAACCATGGAAACGGGATTTTAGCTGTGTCTTTAAAACCCAGTAATTTTAAAAATTACTCCAAAATTCGCTTGAGGATGAAATGGAACTAATGTCTTTAATTTAATTGCAAAATTAAATTCGTGGCTTTTAGCTTCCATTTTTGAAACATGGTTAGAACTGTGTAGCGGAAAAAAAACATATTTTAAATCAATTAATTTATAATATTAATGCTCTGTAAATTTACATTGAGCACTATTTTGTAAAAATAAAAATATCTATAAGAACACCGGATTATATATCTCACTGTTCTTTCTTTTTATTTAAATACATACACACACACACACACACACACACACACACACACACACATATATATATATATATATATATATATATATATATATGTATGTATGTATATAACTTCTATTAAGATTTAAAATTGGGAGTAAAAACTTTTTCTATAAGTTGAAAGATAAGTAGTTATGGGGGAGTGATTTGCCAAACTTCTCATTTCACAGGAATTTATACCGATCTGTCTGTTCATGCGTTATTTTCTTTTAGTGGGTATTCATGATGACAATAACAGAACTTCTATTTTTGTCTCTTTTTATCTGTCGCCATAGATATTTTCAGATGTTTTTTCACTCGTAGGCATATTGTCAGATTAATAAGTTTTCACCAGCAGATATGAATGTTGCTGAAAAAGTCCTCAAATTAATTTGCTCTTCTTTGTAAAGTAATATATTTAATTTCTGCACACAAATAACGCTCGCTATCTACAAATCAAATTTATTTCCCGTTTTAATAACATTTTCTGAGAATCCTGTCTGAAAAGCCTGAAAATTAATCAGGAATTCAATGTAATTACCAAAATGGAAATTAACTCAAGTAATATTTGGGTATTTCGGGTATTTTCAGACAGGTTTCTTGAATTGTGAAATATTTAGTGAAAAATTGAAATCTTTACATAGAGTTAACATCGACCTTCCGTATGCAGGGGTTTCAGTATCCATGAATTCAACAGTTGGCGAATCGAAAATATCCAGATATTTGCAAAAAGTTCCAAATTTGAATTTGCTGCGTTCTCACCCGATTTGGGATTTATTTCAATAAAGTGGTGTTTACGCCACGTGTTCTATGATAGTCTCTTCCCTATTTCCTTTTTCAACAATTCAGCATTGTTCAACATATTTATTCGTTTTTTCTCTTGTCTGAATCCCTTTTTACCTTAAAATTTGGCATAAAACCTTCTTTTAAAATAATTCACCGTTCATTAATTAAATATCGAGAATATTAATGGAATCCAATAATTCGATAATTTTTGGTTGTTTTTTGAAGACTGTCATTTTTCTGACCAATTTTTTACTTATAGATGAAAAATATCTACGTTTCTATAGTGTATAGAACATTTATATCAAAATTGTCTAATTTTTCTTTTTTGGAATAGAATGAGAAAAAATAGTCGTTGTTTGAAGATCAGATGATAATATCAAAACGACATAGAATTAATTTCGAGTGTGTCTCCGTCATTGTATAGGTAACAGAATTATGAAAAATGTACATCAATATTTTCTGACATAATTTACATCTCTGTCAATGCATTTCTTACTAAGATGAATTAATATTAATAAGTTCATAAGCTCTACGATTTATTAACTGACATTTTTTATGATCTGGTCTATACTAATTTTCTTTTTTCAGAGTGATGCTAGTTATGCATAAGGAACTTAGTTATCCTTTTATCATTCAAACTGACGACATTGCCAGTTCACCAGAATTGAAACTGCACATGAAAGGTTTACATGTCGCCATTTTCGCATGTAGTACGGATAGTTTATTAATATCTATCCCAGTCTGTTCATATCTATCTAATTATAGATCTCAGTCTATCTATCTATCTATCTATCTATCTATCTATCTATATAGTTTTTAATATTAAATTAATATATATATATATATATATATATATATATATATATATATGTAGCATAATGAGAATCCACGTATACTTTCTTAATATGTATATATAGAAAAAGTTGCAAATTAAAAAATAATTATATAACAAACAGTTATTTCTGAAGAAAGATTGAGGTCAATCTGAAATATCAAATATATATATATAAATAAATGAATACTTTCATAAAAAAACATTATTATTTTTTTAATTTGCAACTTTTTCTATATATATATATATATATATATATATATAAAAGGAAATTTTCTAAAGAAAAATCTTTCATTTTTCAGTGCCTCTATAGAAGAAGTAAAATAATGTCTTAAAATTCAGAATGTTAACACATTATTTTTCGTGACCTGTCATGAAAAATCATTGTCTCCGTTTTAATTTTATTTTCGACTAGATTTGAGAACTGGGTAGAGGGATTTTGATGTTGCATTTAACACAAAAAGGCAGAACTATATGACGTTAATCCATTTAGCTGAAATTTGAAATTCTTAGATTTGACAAAACTGTGATTTCATGATTTGCAAAGCCCTTTGTTCCCGGATTATTGAGAACTAATCACCTCGCAAGAGAATAAAATGTAAATGTAACCAAAATAAAAAAAAGAAGATAAATAAACTGAGATACGGAGAGGTCTTTCATTTATTCATTATTTGATTATATTATTAATTTTTCATCTAAAATCTCCGAAAAGAAATTGTATTTCAAAAATGTGAGATTCTCAATTGGAGAGAAGGTTTCGGATTAAAGAAATTAGAAACCATTGAGTAACATGGCATTTTTCCAATTCGGTCTTTTATTTCTTCAGTCTATAACAAAATTGATCTGATGATTATAAGGTTAATGCTCAACAGTTCAGCATAGACATTCATAATATCATTCCACATAAATGGACGCACTAGCCAGATAAGAAGTTTGGCATAGAACGAAATAAAAGACAGTCAGAATGTTTGCTTTTCTTTTGTTTGGTTTACGGTAAATCAATCTCAATGGGTCATTTAATGCCGGCAATATAATATTTTTAATATTTCTTTTTCAAAAATGTATTGCTGGTATTAATATTTTAAAAAAATGTATTGCTGGTATTAAAACCTATTTTTACACATTCATAGTGTTTTGACCCACAGTTTGGGGGTTATCCATTTCCCCCCATAGCTGGGACCCTAACAGGTGCCACCGCCCCGGGTCAGGGTGGACCTAGGAACATCAGCAATTAATAGGTGGTTCCATGCTTCTCAAAACCTTCTGATCAGAGGCCTTGCTACCGGATGTAGTTTATCGTCATACCCAGGATGCCTGATTCATTTTGAGTCTTACCCACTACAGAGGGTGCACTCGCCGTGTTCTGAAGCCCCAGCTTACGCATTTTTCTTCTCATTCTACTTCTACCATTTTTATCTTCATTCACTTTAAACATAATTTACGAGTCTGACAGTCGTCCTTGCTTTGAATATTTCTGCCACATTTGGACTGGTCCTCCTGCTATATATTAAGAAATTATACGTATTATAAAACCCAGGTTGTGTGTGTGTGTGTGTTCGTTTATATATTGGATCGGATTTCCTACATTTTTCAACCGATTTCAACAAAACTTCACAGGACTACGTAAAATTACCTTGTGGTGATTCTGACAGCGCCAAAAATTGGAAACACAATTGTTTTTGCATGAAATCAATTTGAAAACACGATTAAGAGGCATCACTGTCGCCAGAATGAAAGGGGGACAACTCATATCGGGTTATACTTATTATAAAACCCAGGTTGTTTATGTGTGTGTGTTTGTGTTCGTTTATATATGGGATCGGATTTCCTACATTTTTCAACCGATTTCAACAAGACTTCACTTTTTTTTGGCAGGTAGTGTTTCTTATTGTCTTGCACACTTTTTTCTTTATTTTTACATTCAGAATACTTTAAAAATTCCATTTACAAGACAATTGTTTATAATAAAATTCTATTCACCAATCAATAGACTCATAACGATTGAAAACAATGTTTTTGTTTGAGTTTGACCAATTCGTAAAAAAAAAAAAAAAAAAAAAAAACCTAATTAAGACATGCGTGTCCGTCAACCTTAAACAATAATCTTTGTCAATTTTATTTTTCAGTCTTTATGATGGTCAATACTTGATGTATCTCTTACTGTTACATCCCCGGGCAACGCCGGGCTCTCCTGCTAGTTCTTGATAAAATTCATTATTGGATTGTTATTGGTCCTTACCTGTCTGCTCGGCTTCAGTCACTTTTCCACCTCCGTAATTTAGCCTCACTGTGCTTTTCTATAGATACTTACACGGTAATTGTTCTGATGAACATTCCGTTGTAATAACTAGACTTCACATAGTCTCTGAAGTATTATGGTGGCTGTAGTAAGAATGGTAACGAAGAATGTACTGTTTTGGTGTAAAAAATACTGTGGTATTCTTGGGTCAGTATTCGCGGCTAGCTAAATTTTAAAATAAGACAAATTGAAGACCAGCCTTCCCCTATATCCCCTTTTGGCCTTCTGTTACAGTTTCATATTTTTCAAAATATATATTACTTGCCTCTATGTCACCTAGATTTTAAGCGCAGTACTAGATTTGACAGTTGAAGTTCTATTCTAATAATTTCTTCTCTCGCACTTCTCACTTGTGGAACTCTCTTCTGACTTCTTGTTTCCCAGTCAACTTTGATCTTCAAAAATTTAAATGTAGTGTCAATTGTTATCTTTTGTTTTTTTAATTATTGTTCTTTTATTGTTTTCTTTCTTTAATAGTATTTTTTCTTATATTTTTTTACACTCAATAACACCCTTGCGTCTTACCTTTCTTGTGGTAAAATGATTAAAAAATAAAAATAGTATACTTGACCTTTACTTTGAGGGTTTAGGGATTCAAGAATTTGCGGAGAGGAAGGCTAGAAAAATCTGTTTTAAAATACGTTTTTATTTTTGTCTGCAAAATCAAATAAATTGCATTTTTTTTCTTTTTACATCTTTTTTTGACATTATTCGGACTATTGTCCTCATCTTTGTCGTCATATTTATCACAACGTTTCGGCCGTTGTACGCTCCGGCCTTCTTCAGGTGGTTGGAATGTCGAACTGAACCCTTTCTTTCGCTCACTGGGGTAGACTGTTCTAGTTCCACGTGCCATGTTTGATGGATGTCAGCTATCAGTTATCTCCTGTTAATTATTCCCTCTGAAAGTTCTCCACTGCCGTAACCGGGTATTGAACTCACATTCTTTGGATCTTGTCACTGGATCTAACCAACGTCTTTATCCACTGTGCCATGTGTCCTCAAGGACACATGGTACAGTGGATAAATAATATGAATAATGTACATAATATCTCATCTCAGAAATATAGACAGATCTTTTCTTGACGTTACAAACTCTAGGTACGCTATTGCTCACAATTAAAAAAAGTATTTGAATTTCATTATTCAAGTTTCAAAACCAAGCAGAAAAGAGAAAAATTTAAAACGAATTCTTAATTTCATTTGCTGATTTAACGCAGCTATTCAAAATGTCTTTCAAGGGCAGTTTGGCAATAAAGAATAATCTTTCGTCAAATTGGTATATGTTTTTTTTTATCTTCCATGTGCCAGTTTTTGTCCTGCTGCTTGGCTTAAAAAAAACAGCATTATCAAAAGCTCAAATCTAAATATGCAACTTCTCCCCATTTCTTTCCAAACGTTCGGTGCTGCCATCTTTGATCTTTGATGTTTACTCACAGTATTTAGTAATATTATCTTTCAAATTTCGTTTTAGTCTGTTGCGTTCACTTTCAAACAAATGTTTTTCAAAAAGACAAGAAGGCATCGCTTCTTGCTCTCCCATAACTTTGAGTAGACTGAGTTCTTTGAATTTGGGTAGCAGCTAGACGAGAACAACTATGTATTCAAAACCTCAGAGAAACAGCGGAACATAATTCCACCATTTTCCCAAGGGATCATGGCAATCCACAAATATTAAAGGGAAGTTGTCTGTACTAACCCATGATTGGGAAATTAGCATATATATATATATATATATATATATATATATATATATATATATATATATATATATATATATATGTACGTTTCTTTTCCTCTTTATCATACTTCATATATTTTTTCTGTTTTACCATTTCCATTTCTGTTCAGATTAACAATCAAATTTTTTTTTTTTTTTATTTATAAAAAATTAAATTTGTCTCTTGATAGAAGATTTTTTTAATCGTGCACTTATGTGCTGTACTACTGTATTAGTTCCCTAAATGTTTCCGATGTACTTGCCATTATTAATAAAAAAAAGTTCACCAAAGATATATCTCTGAAGAAGGGTTGGCCGAAAGGTTCATTAGATGCTTTTTTAATAGTATTAAGATGTTTTCATTAGTTTTCATTAAAGTTTTGTTGACAATTTAGAAGTATCAAGTTATTGTTTTATATATATATATATATATATATATATATATATATATATATATATAATTAAAACGAAACAGGGTTCACGTGTGCTTCTTATACGTGAATTTTTAATAGGACGATTAATGATATTCGAGGAATAAAAAGACAACAACAGGATAGCAATATTTTCAATAATATTGAGATTTATTATATATTAGTATACCTTTTAACCAAACCGAAACACGAAGAGGAAGATTTTAAAGTCGGAAAATTTAGGACACGCCTGTGTTTTTTTTTCAACGAGAAGAGGAATAAACAAAGAAGTGAGACTCACTCTTCCGAGGAATGTTGTTGTTGATGTTTTTTTTTTTTTTTTATTAGGCTTTGTATTTTTTTCTCATGTTGTATTAATGTAAGAAATTTGATTTTGGACTAGTAGTTTGTCGAGATTAGGGTTGTGGAGGGTTTGTAGAAGTATATATATATATATATATATATATATATATATATGGGTTGAAGATCAAATGTAGATCAGATATGGATAGGAATCTGATATATATATATATATATATATATATATATATATATATATATATATATATATATACATGTATGTTTGTGTGTATGTGTGTGAGCGCGCACACGAGCGTATTCCGTTATGTGATTAATTATGACTTCTCATATAGTCTGATATCTTTCAGAGAGATTCAGAGGATAAAAATTTTAAAAATTTCGACTAGGAAGATATATCAGGTAGCGACTATTTGACCGTAGGCAGAAAACGCAGATACTACACTGATCCTTGGCAGAAATTAGGATCCACACGTTTTTTTATTTTTATTTTATTTTTTTTATTTTTTGACAGGGTTAAGTTATTATTTCTTTGTTGTGGAGAAAACTTAAAACCTTTGCTTTCAAAAATGCTTTTTTCGAAAAGATATTTTGTATCATAACAAACAATGTTAGAATTCAAGAACCGACAGATGCTAATTGGAAATTGACTGTTTCCTGATTTTAATATTGGTATCTATACCGTAATCTCATGATTGTGGAACAATGCATTTATTTATGGGGGGTCACTAAAATCTCAATCTATTCATCACTCTCTTATATATATGCATATATATATATATATATATATATATATATATATATATATATATATATTTGTATTTAAATTATGGCTTTATATTTGTATTTGAGGTATGCATATATATATATATATATATATATATATATATATATATATATATATATATATATATATATATATACCTCCAAATACAAATATAAAGCTAAAATATAAATATAAATATATATCTAATATCTAGTTTAAAATATAAATATGCACGCAGATATCAAGACATATCAACGTACACATATATATTATATATATCCACATTTACATAGATATACAAAAGTATACAACGTGTGATGTTATATATATATATATATATATATATATATATGAAATGACGATATATATATATATATAAAATTCGAAGAAACCTCGATTAAAAAAAGGTTAATCAAGGCAGATGAAGATATTAGTAAAAAAAACTAATAAAAGACATTTATAAATCATTCCATATTAAGCAAAAAAAAGAAAAAAAGAAGAAAAACAAGTGTACATTACTTACCTGATATTATATTTTATGAAAGTATGTTCGAGGTGAGAATCTTAAGGCTTAAGATAGCAATTGTCAGAATAACTTACCTGCGAAAAAAATGAGAAGAAAAATGAAGAGTTAATTGTTCATATATAAAAATATACAAAATTCAATCAGTTACCGTTAAAAAATAACATTAAATAACAAGTCGTTATATAATCATTAATAATATAATAACAATTTATATTTATTACACTAAATATCATATAATATTACATCCTTCCTTGCTGTCAACAATATTCTGGATAATCCCTCCGTATTGAGATTGTGCATAGTTGATGAAATCTTTTTTTTTTTTACTGACATAGTATCTGCAGTCCATGTCTTGTATTTATTGTGCCGTGTTATGTGTCTTAATTATGACTTCACAGTTCTCTTTCTACTAGATTGTTAGCCAATCATTGATAGAGAGTCCAGTTTGCCCTACTATTTTCCCCTTTGCTGGAGGAGAAGTAATTGTGCGAACGTGCGTGCAACAAATTCAACCGCAATTTGAACTCGGCCCGCCCATTTCTCGTTCTCGTTTCTTGGTTTCCGATAGCCGTTATACTACCTGCGTATCCAAATAAAATGCTAGTTTTAATAAAATTAAATTAATAAAAAATAATGATATATCAATAAAACATCAAAAGAGAAATCTTATTCCATTGAAAGAAATACAATTAAAATATCTTAAAATATCTTTCCTTTTTTGGCTTTAATAGCCGTTGTATATCTCACAGATGAATTAAAATATTACTATAATGTAGCTTTGATAGCAGTTATGTATTATAAAAAAATATAATTTATATATTTTATAGCTTCACCTTGGTAGATGATATATATTTCATAATAATTTTTTTAATACTTTGGCCTCTATGTATGTTTTTCAATTTATAATTGAAATACTTTTGTCTTTTGATTTTGATGGCGGTTATTGATTTCATTGATTTATAATAAAATATTTTAACCTGAAAAGCCGCTGTTTATTTCAGATAATTATTATACTTTTATATTTTAATCTTGCCAGCCGTTATATGCTTTATAAATTGTTAATTGAAATGCATTTACATTTAGACATGGTTATTGATTGATTGGTTCGTTTTCTACGGCTTATCAGGTTATTTAAAGCCAGAAAATAGTTTTTAGATTGCAAGAATGTTATTTTTTTTCGATAATAATAATTTGGTGATACAAGTTTTACTAATTAATCGATAGCTGGAGGGAGGGTGGATTTATACCTTTCCTAAGCGTAAGTGAATATAATGAATCCAAATGGAATTCGAACTCGGCTCTCCGATTAACAATTTCGTACCATCAACCATTGCACCACTTCACATCCGAGCTTACAGCACTTGGTATTCCCAAGCGGTCACCCATCTAAGTACTGACCAGGTTCGATATTACTTAACTTCGTTGACCGTAAGGGAACCACAGTGATTTATAATTAAAATAGTTTTATATTTAGTAAATTGTGAAATTTTATCATATATTTTTTATAAAATACACTACCCCCCCCCTTACAAGATATAATGGCGTCAACATTGAGAGCGTCTTTGGCGCTTATCTTTACCAGAGCTGGACTTATGGACATGTTTGTCCAACTGCTGGGCCAGCCATTTTTTCGTCATTCAACGCCTGTGACAAGTCATCGACGAGATGTTTGGAAGACATCTAGCGATGAAATGTGATCAAGGCAAATTGGTTTCATGCCTTTCCCATGACGATTCGCGCCATGTGAACACGAAATTTAGTTTTTCATGTCAATAACTGTTCCACACCTTTGTAGCATGTGTGAAATGTGTTTGTGTTTATATGTGTGGTATTTGTGTGTGCGTTTGTTTAAGGGCGTGTGTGTATGATTTGGTGCATTTGTGTCTGTGTTGCTTTTATTTGTGTGTATTTGTGTGTGGGTTTTGTGCTGGCGTGTGTGTGTGTTTCTTCACCAGTATTCGCGCGTTGGTTGAAAAAAAAAAGCACATTTGTAATCTCTGGCTTGTGATGTAGGTTCGATTCTCACTCGAGTACAGTTAATTGGGTGAAATGTAAAGAAGAATAGACTGATTATAAAACACTATTCAGAAGCTTTTTGAAAATTGATTTCTGGCCTCAATGGAAAATACGTAACTACGAGGATTAATTTAGTCTTGACCCATTTGGTAGCGTATTTTGGGTAACTAATGGAAGATCGAACTCGCTGCTTTAAGATTGGTACTTCAAAATTAGCTTTATAACAACTATCTAGAAATGTTTACATGAGCAATTATTATTATTATTATTATTATTATTATTATTATTATTATATGCGTGTCTGAAGAAGGCCATATGCGACAATGGCCGAAAGACAATGAGTATAACAACCAAGATGCACTGAGCCAAATGCATATAAAATCTCTCTAACAAACTAGCGAGTTATCCAAATATCTATCTATCTATCTATCTATCTATCTATCTATCTATCTATCTATCTATCTATGTCTGTTTTTCTTTAAGTCTATCTTTCTATTTATCTTTCTATATAAGGTTCTTTCTTTCTTTCTTTCTTTCTTTCTATCTGTCTATATATGCATTTGCATATTTGTATCCATATATACGTATGCAATCGAAGTGTGTGTACTCGGGTTAAACAATTTTGATGGATGTGCATACGTTGTATACCGCCGAAATCATGATTAATCCAATTTTCAGATTCTTACCAGCAACGTAAAATTTCTCTTTTCCTTCTTGAAGAAGAAACTAATTTACCAGTGCATCTTGGGTACACTACAGTAGTGGAGCCTCGAAGCCACCCAAGTTCAATTTCCATTCACGGTGCTTCGTCTCTTAGGGATTGTTTCTACGAAACACCACGGAGAATGAAAAAGATGAATTCAAACAAAATTAAGTGTCCCTTTTTCTAAGTGATCAGTCTTCTTCCTTTCATTTCAACCTCGTCTAAATAACATCCGTCGAAAACTTCTTTCGTCTCAGTTCTTTCTTTTTTTTTCTTCCTCAATCTTTTCCATTTTTTATAACAATTCTTCATTCATTTGCTTTTCTCTGCTGATTCTATTTTCTTTCTTTTTTTTTTCCCATTCTTTGTTCTTTCCTTTCTTCTCCACTTTCCACCTGTCATTGTATCCTCTTTTTTTTTTAAAAATAAATCCTTTCTGTCCGAAAAGAAGCAACTAATGAGGCGCTTGCCTGCTCATACTCCCTGCCTTGTCCTACTTCCTCTTCTGACGCCACTATTTCTTCTACTATCAAGATGCGTAGCGTTATCCAATTCACTTGTGATCCAAAGAAGTAATTGACCGACCCACACACAAAAATGGCCTCGTTTCACAAATGAACTTTTTCAGGTTGAATCACGTCCTTTGGGGTTTTTTTTTCACATGACCTTTACACCTGCCTCTCTAGAATGGAATTTACTTATCGCTTGCTTAAGTCAGAAATTCGAGAATGTTTCAGAAATAAGGAAAACAATTACGTTTTCGTGATTTCATGATAAAATTAAACAAAATAATAATACAAATAGTTTCACGGTCTGTATAGTTTATATAGTGTGTGCATATGTTCGACAAGTTGGCGTATATTAAAGGAATGTCCTGATCTATATTAGTGCAGAATGGTCTATATTCATTTATATTAGCACGAATAACATTTTGGTCAGATAGCTGTTAAGTTAACCTACGGAATAAGGTGTTAGTTATATGCTCAACATACAAATTTGTAGTTGGTTCTTTATAGAGAACGTAATTAAGAATCCCTAGATTAAATCTTCCTTTAAAACTAATAAATATATTTATCCCCGGGAAAAATCTTGCTTGTATGTCGCCTCGTACGTTAGACGTTTTTCATTTTTTTAAAATATTTATGTATACGGCGTTTGCCTTTTCTGGTTTAAGTAAGCTTTTTGCTTTATGTGCATAAAGTATTTAAAAGTATTTAAGAAATAAAAAGAGAATTTAAAAAAGAAAAAAGTCTATAGATTTTCTTGATCTAGATAATGAATAGACATATGGTCGAAAGTGCACAGTCATTTGCATGGCAAACAGAAGCCTCTACTAACTTCTGTTTAGCGTCTCCGTACGAATGTCTGTGCGTATGTCCGTGTGTGTGTGTGTGTGTGTGTGTGTGCGCGCGCGTGCGTGCGTGTTTGCGTATGTCCGTGCGACGACCACTCTAAGTCTAGTGAGCCCACTGACCTGAATTTTGGCATGAAGTCTCACAAAACATACACTTGATATATACACTATATGAAGTTCACGTCGGATCTGACATGAGGTCATCAAATAGTATGTCATTTGTAGCCAAATGAAACAACAACTTCTAGCAAAATGGAGTTTGCTCTGAAGTAAAAACGTGCTTTCTTGCCTTCTCAAATAATAGGGCGGGTAATGTCAAATTTAAACCTCGAGTTTCCTATCCGTCAGTGAGGGTAGAATTAGTATGTAGGCTTTATGAGCTGTATTCTGATCTGTGTTGTACTCTTATGAAAAACACTAGAAAGAATATAAAAAAAAAAACAATAAAAATTATATAGCCACTCCGTTTGAAAGGTTACTGAGTATATAAGGTTAGCGCTTTTCCGACTAGGGACCAATATGAAAAGAATGACACTGGGAAAAGAACAGAGAAATCAGATTGAGGCCAAAGATCTTAATAATTCGTCTGCCTTGTTGATGGTCATCCTGACACCTTCTACCATGCTCTACCTATTCAAAAATCAGATTAGACCAAAAATGAACTAGTGCTGCCATACCTGGCCTGGAGTTGTATAATCCCACTTCTCAGCCTTGATAAGTTCAAAAATGTATCCACGGCCTTGTGAGTGATGAATTATTTTCCACTTTACAAACCGTTTCCTACGAACGAATCGCAAGTTCTGATGTATTAAATTAATTAGTTTCCATCAGTTCAGACCTTCACAGCTAAGACCTGCCATGCTGCATACAGTGGGACGAATAATCCCGATTTCTTTCGTATTCCATAGGTAAGAAGGACGTTCCATTCGAGAAGCTTCATCCAGAGAAATGCTACTTTGTAGAAAAGACTCCCAAGAGAATTCTTCCCCGATCGCTACAATCTTAACCACTCCAAGTCTAAGGTCAACCATTATCTTTCCTACGTATCCGTATAATCTGCACTTACGAAAACCCCATTTAATAACCCTCTACTTTGAGTGGCTCTTTGGTCTTGTATTTGGTAAATAATCAGTAAGAAAAGCAAATAGAAAACTTGAGATCACTCTGAATTGACTTCGTTTGGATTTTAAGAGTAAAAATTTCGAATTATGCGGATGCTGGAAATGAACACATTCTTTTTTTCCTATCGCATTTAGGATAATGGCTTTGATGACTTGTAGAAACTGCTTGATAACTAGAAGAGATCGCTTTAAAAGATTTGGAGGATTCAATTGATGAAGAATGATGGTCGAAAGCGAAGGTTGGGCAAGTCAGCTAGTTTCCGAACATTCACAGAAACATACGGAATTGTGTCAGTTGATTTATACAGCTTTTCTGACAAATTCGAGTTTAATACTTCGGAAGTATACTTTTTAAAACCAGGAATGCATTTTCTAAGTCACACTGAAAAGTTCGTGTTTGTTTCGGACCAATTTTTACATTTAAAGTTTCTGAAAAAATCAAGTGAACTCCTGAATGATTCAAATTTTTCTCTGAAAATATTTTCATGATTGAACAACGTTTTAGAAACGAAACACAAGAAAAAAGTTTTTCACTCTTTCGAATCCTTTTGTTTATTTTTTTAGAAAAGCTGTTTTAATTACAATTTGACCTTTATTGACCACCAAATAACCTTTCAACTCAAGTTAACGCCATGAACCAATTTAGCTTCATGAAGGTCTTTGTTTGGCAACATGAGAAGCACTAACTAATGCTACCAGTCAATGACCTCCGCTGATCTTAGGGACTGATTTTGATCTTGTTCGCTTTACAAATAATGAAGTGTAAATTCAGCATCTCACTACTTTTTACTAGAAGTTACTTCATTTGGCTAAAAAGACATAATGTGCTCTTTGAGAATTTTTGTTTTGATAACCTCTGAAACCAACCTCAGAATTCCGATATTTTTAATTGAGGGCTTGTTGTTACCCATGTAAGTCATATATATATATATATATATATATATATATATATATATATATATATATATAAGGTAAAATGCAAACAAACGGAGTATAATTCCACTGTACGTAACATTTACCATAAAACAAGTCCCAATAGAGAGCTAAATATTAACATACAGTAGTTTAAAATCGCCTGAGGAGATACATTTGTAGTGTTGAAACAATTGCGATTTTTTGCATGTTTTTGTTTTAATATCCTAATATATATATATATATATATATATATATATATATATATATATATATATATATATATATATATATATATATACACACATATATATATATATATATATATTTATACACACATATATCATTATTCATTCGCTTGTTTTGCAATAGGAAAATAAGTAGAAATCTTCATTGACTTTTACTAAGTTTGGTATCGTGTAGCGTGTGACTTAATGAGATTTATCTTTGCTAACAATTATTGTCGTGACGGGCATGTTAATCATTACTCTATCTTAAGTGACTTGATACAGGAGATACGAAGCTTGAAATATCTCTACGTTATGAGAGAAGCCGAATAATATATCGACGAAAGTTTTTGGTTTAAAATAAAACAGATAAAACAATCGTTCGAAAATTTGTAATATTCGTTCAGATGAAGCAGCAAGGACAAAATGTATCGGCTGCAATGTCTTTATAACAACAGAATAGAACGAAATTAGCCCGAAAATCTATGTATAATGAAAATAATTCATCACAGAATTTAAGTATGTATTGGGGACATTTCTTTGGTGTTTTTTTCTGTTAGTTTCAATTATCTATACATCGATTAGATTCTTTTGATAATCAAAATCCTAACATCCACTTTTTTTAATCAGTTCATTATTTATTTACTTCAGGAATCGTGGTTCAGCTGATCCGATAAAGTCAAACGCCTTTCTCTCTATTAAACAAACATGGCCACTAATTGATTATTCGCGCGATTTCTTTGCGCAGACTCACTGCAATCGGACTGCGTTACGTCGCGTCAGCAGAATTAAATTTTTTACCAGACAGTTTTTCAATTTTTCCCTTTTTGTTACGAGGCAATTTTAAAAAAAATTCCTATTGTTAATACATTTATCGATTATTTAATTATATATATTGATCATATTTTTTTTTACTATTAATATACTTGTATTATTAGTCTTCAAAGTTTGTTAAGTGGACCATTAGCTACTCGAGTGAGTTCAGGCTACAGATATATTGCATGTTTTTCACGAGTATTAGAGGTCGGTGTGTGAGCTGAAATAAAACCAGAATTTCAAATGCCGATTTTCAAATTCTCTCTCTCTCTCTCTCTATCTATATCTATATATATATATATATAATGGCAAAAAGAAAATCTTATCTTAACTGGCGCATTTCGTTCTCTGAGTGATTTTATAAAGGCAAATGTTTTCTCTTAGAGGACGAAACGCGTCTAAGATTTCTTTTTGTCTTTATTCATATTGTCCTTTTACAGATATACTCTATCTGAAATTTTTAGACACACGCATATATGTGTGTGTTATGTGTGTGTGTGTGTCCATAAAACTCTCAGGCCTTAGTCGAAAATCAGTTTAGAAAAAGACAAAGCTCAAAGAGGAGGGCTGTTTGTAGTCTTTATAGCACAGCATTTCTCCATTATCAGTTCTTCAGTGGCTAGTTCTACACAAGATCATAGAATCAAGTCATGCGAGTGACTAGTATGGCGGTTTAGTTCTAAAACTGACCTGTTAGGCACTTATACGTCGAAATCGATGAGATAGTTCCCGATATATATGGCATTTAGGCAGCAAGTATTTATCCAAACAAGTTTGAAATTAATTTTGTGTTATTGTTTTTTTTTTTCAAGTACTTTCGACAAACTCGGTCATTTTCAAGAACCAATGTGGTGTCTGAGTGGTGGTTAAAATTGCTTTATCTACATCCGAGTATTCTTTGGAAAGCTGGAAGTTTGAAATAATCTCCGAGGACTATTTCAAACAGGTAAGACCTTATCGTTTCTTTTTTAATCTTGTTTGGGTAACTACATCTAGTGCTACTACTACTAATGCTACACACACACACA